ATACTTTTCCAGACATGTAAAATAGTCAAATCTTTTAGAGCTGTTTATTTTTTCTGACATTGGAGCTCTGCTTTGCATGGGAGCTATCATTAAATCTTTATTTTATTTTGGGAATGTGATCAAATGGCGATGGATGTATTAAAGGATTAAAGAAAACGCACACATTAAGAATTAAAATTTTCTGCATCAAAGAATAACTTTTAGATTCTTTTGAGTTTTCATTGGCCTTCAAACACTGTTTTTCAGGCTCTTTTTTTTAAATAACCTGCTTTATAGAGTAATGACTTTGGATTCAGTCGGGAAGGTTGCCATTGCCCTGCATCTGAGTGCAGAGCACTAATATGGTTCAACCTTCACCCAAGGTCACATTTTAGTAGAAATTATAGTACCTGAAAGCTGGTTTAATGTATATAGATTAGTTTCACACAATTAATCTCCAGTTAAAGTACATTTTTATTTTTCTTGGCCCCTGCAGGTTCTCAGTGATGTTCATGCAGCACGATACATTCATGGCGTGGCAGTGCACTGGTACGCAGACGGTCTGGTCCCTGCAGAGATTAGCCTGGGAGCCACTAATCAACTCTACCCAGAGTACTATCTGTTTGGCACGGAGGCCTGCGCTGGCTGGACACCACTGAACCGAGGAGTGAAGCTGGGAAGCTGGGACAGGGCAGAACAGTACGCTCATGACATTATAGAGGTGAGCTGATCTCCCTGCATGCATGAGGGTTTGTACATGTTCAGTCAGATCCCCGGTTAGAGACGTCAGATTTGACAAGCTGCAAGTCGTCCCAGAGAGGCGAGTTCTCCCCCGCCACCCATGCTGCAGTGCAGGTTAAATGTTACACTCTGCTGCACACTATAGAAGAACTGCCTGCAGGGCTGCAGAGCAAGCTGGAACTGGTCTTCATCTTTCTTAACTTTCAAAGGGGGGAACTAGAATCCTTCCATTCTATTCATTTTGTTCTCACTTGGGTAGAAGACATCCTGGGTCAAGAGAAACTTGATACTCTTTGTGCCTCTCTGCTATACTATGTTGTCATGACACGTTTTTTTTTTTTTTTTGCTGGGATCTTATATGATGGATTAACACAAATTATAATTGTGAAGTGCAAGTGATATTTTGGCAGTGGTAGCGTTAGCTTAATCTGCACCTTTAAGTCCTTTGGCCATGTTTCCACTAGCTTTGCACAGAGCAAAATGGAAATGTTTGCCCATTCATCTTTAAGAGAACTGAAGCTCAGTCAGAATAGACGGAGTAAATCTCTGAACTCCAGTTTTGTAGCTCTGGCTGACTGTTAGTCATTGTGGTGCTGATAGAGGAATCCCCACCCCAGTCTCAAGCCCTCTGCAGCCTCCAGCAGCTTTTCTTCTGGAATTGTCCTGTATTTAGCTTGAGGCTGGGCGATATGAGCCAAAAAGTAATCGCTCTAAATTGTATGGCAATGCACAATATTTTCATAAAATAATTCTAAAGATGCACCCCTGATTCAAAACTTTGTTCCTAATGTTGCACAAGCACATTTTCTAACAAATTGATTTAGATAAACAAAAGATAAATGTCCTAATAACCTACAGGTATTCAGAAAAGTACAATCAAATTGCAATCTTGACCATTCCAATATAAGGTATTATCTTCTATCTTGTTCCATATTTGCTATATTTTTAAATGTCTATCTATTACACAGCACTACAATGAGCTTATCTGTAGATTAGCCGTGTCCCCTATATATGCTATGTTTGTAAACTACATATGAGAACTTCTTATGGCTTTACTTGATAAAATATATATATTTTCTTGCCTCTCTACATGAAGTTGAAAATTGCAAAACAGACAAGTATTGATTTGTCCCAACAGAACTGTGGATTCCTGCATCTCTTCCTGTTACTGCAGTCCTCCAAACAGCCATTCTACCTGCACTGTTTTTAACTTTGTGTTTTTCCTATTGTCTTATATAACAGGATGATGGATAGAGTAACATGGAGATGTCAAAAGCTTTTGATATTTTCTTAATCTGTTGCTTCTTTAAAATTGGCTAAAAGAGGAGTAAAAGCACCATCAACCATTTCAGGTGTTCTTGTTGAATCTTAATTGCTGCATGTTTTTTTCTTCCATTTTATGGTTTAACTAATATTCTGTTGGTTTATCATATAAAATCCCAGTAAAATATTTTGCGGTTTGAGCTTTAGAACTTCAAACTGCAAAAGATTTTAGTGATGAGACACTAGATGTTCAGTTAATAGATCCACTTAATAAAACCACCATCTTACTCAGGAGTCTTAGTCTCTGTTTCTAAAGTGAGGGGTGGTTCTCTGCCTCAGGACTTAAATCACTACGTTGTTGGCTGGACTGACTGGAACTTGGCGTTGAACCCGACTGGTGGACCAAACTGGGTCAAGAACTTTGTAGACAGCCCCGTCATTGTGGATGCTGAGCGGGACGTCTTTTACAAGCAGCCAACTTTCTACAGCATGGCCCACTTTAGGTGATCAGATTTTTTTTTTTTTTTGTTTACTTTAAATTAAACGTGTTTTTGACTTTTTTTTGTACAATGAAATCTTTATGTACAGTACGTTCCTGTGGGAGGGATCACAGAGGGTGGGGGTGGCTGCTAGCATGAAGACACAGCTGGAGTTCTCCGCCTTCATCAGACCAGACGGCTCTGTGGTGCTGATCGTTCTCAACAGGTACTAATAAAGAACCCAGATCTATTAGCTGCTGTTTTTAAGGTTAATACTTATCCCGCTTTGTGTTTCTGTGTTCAGGTCGTCTTCTACCATCTCGTTTGAGGTCTGGGATCCTGCTGTGGGTTACATTCCCTGCACTGCTCCAGCCCACTCACTGCTCACCGTTGCTTGGAAAACGCACTGAGATTTAACAATATTTACACTCCCAACATTTCTCTAATCACTGGTTTCACAATCATTTCTAAATCACATTACACTTCCAGCTTCTCATTACCCAGACTGATACTTTTCATTAGTTTGCAGCTCTTTAAGTCTACCTTTTTGGCCAGAAACGATATTCTTAAGTGGATACATTTAATACCTTATGTTCTATTTTTACCAAGTGACCATCCCTGTACCATCCCAAGCAATTTTCACATAGGGAGTAAAAAAAACAGCAGCCAACACAGATGGAGCAGGAGTAAAATGTGGGTCCATTAAGGGTCCTATATGCATTCCACACCTGAGGCTTAACTGGTTTTGCTCATAGAAGTGAAACCCATATATGCAACCCCATGGATACGAATATAGGCTAGGACCTTGACTGTTTAATCGCTTTGGAGTCTTTCAACATTCTATGCCTGCTGTTGGTCGATTAGTTGGGGTTTAAAATGATCAGTTTCAAATTCAAAAGTGGGCTTATCAGTCCGTTATAGATCTACAAACAACTGTGCAGTCTAGCTAAAAGCTTTACACCCACAGCGGACACCGTTCTCATTTATCTGATAGGTTAAGGTTTGTTAAAGGTATAGTGGAGGATGTTCTTTTTCCGGATGGATCGTCAAAATAAGCATTTGAATTGTCAATCATTCTGGTGATACGTTTACATAAGGCCGTCCTACGTGCTCATCCCCATTTTCACTTAACGTTGGTGAGTATGACGTGGGAAGATTGCAAATCTTTTATTGGGGGAAAATAAGCTTTTATGAGCGATGCAAACAGCAACTTTCAAACAGCGCATGCACAAGGGGAAATGGTCTCGTGCACGCTTTCACACGTGTTTAATGAGCATTTCTTTTCGGGAGCGGGTACAGAATTGTGCATGTGCAAGTGGAGAGGGCGGGTCCTTTCAAATATTCGTGAAAATCCTCCACTATACCTTTAAGTTGGGTTTCAGCCTAAATGAGCTTTGTCCTTTGATGCTTAAAACCAAAGAAAGTCCTTGGCCGCTTACAAAACAAGCCTTCCCAACCCCGGAAAATGTTGTATTACTACCTCTGAAAAGCAGATGAGTATAGGGGAAAAAATTAAGTATTAAGATCCTCTGCACTGATATGCTATTTTATTTTGCAGACTATTTCACAGCAAATGCGAGGGTATGAAACAATAACAGTAGCTCAACTGGCATGTAGCCTTCATCCGTCCCTACATTTCACACCCGTTTGGTTTATCTGCTGGTGATTGGAAAGGAAGCAGACCCAATACCAGCTTCTGATTTAACATTTAGATGGTTTTTTTTCCCCCTTATTATTTAAAAATCTTATTTCAGTTTAGTTTATGTGATATTTTCAACAATTCAAATCCATAACAACTGGAAGTGATTTATTCATCAGATTAACTTGAACTGAATCACCACTGGAGCTTTGACGCTACTGAAGGACTGATTTTTTTTCTTTAATGAACAGAGCTTGTAAAAGCCTCTCTGTAGTATTAAAATGATCAAGTTTTATTGTAAATAAAGCGCATTTTTTCAAAATCTTCATCAACTATTAAATGCACTGTTAACAAGCAACATTTTTTGTCAATTTATTGATACATCATAAACATTTTATCATATTTATAATATACAGTTTTGATAAACCATTTATTTCACATTTGTGTCGCCTTTCTCAATGTCTTTTTCTTTGCAAACCTTAAGTAGGACTAGAATTATTTACATCGACATAAATGATAAAAATGTAAATCAAAACAAGTCTGTCATGAACAGAGGTCTAAAATGAGGGATGTAATTTGTATATAATATATACACCATGAAGTTTGACATCTAAAGCATCAGAGGGTCAAACACTGAAAATGTTCATTTCCTTAATGCAAAGTTTCAGACTGAGAGAATTTAGGACAGCTTAAAAAAATGCTTCCTTTTGTCTGAAGATAACAGCTCCGGTTTATGACCCTTTAATTGGATTCCTGTTAACTCCACATCCGCTGGATTTAAAAGATAAACATCTTCCTGTAAAATAAAGAACTGGCATGTTGTTTAATATCCCTTATGCTTCAGCAAAGACCATAAATCACACAAATCAACATAAATAGCTCAATTTCTAGAACTGTTCTTGAATTTGTAACCGATTAGTTTTTCACAAATCTTCATCATTTTGGAAGTCATGGCATTTGTTTTGTGCTCTTTAAAATGTTTGTCCTGGACTCATGAATTAAAAAAAAGACAGTTTCTTCTTACGTAATTAATCTCGAGGTCTTCCTATAATTTTTTTTCCTATTCATCAAGTCATGAAGCAGACAATCAGCTCCTCCGACAGTCTTCTGGCTGGTGTGAGCCTCGTTAAAACCCACCACCCTGGAGTTATTCAAAGCAGTGTTTTTAGCAGCTAGTGTTTCCTTTGCATAATTCAGATGGTGGTGAGGGGGGGGGGCACATAAAGCTGTTCCTGCTGGACCCTGAGCTGTCCGGGGTGCTGAAGGAACCAGCATCACAAAAAATGTGCCAAACTCATGTATTTTTTTTTCTATATCATACTTGTCTTCTAACTAAATATCAGTTCATTACAATTTTATTAGAACATCTACAAGATTTCACGAATCCTAAAATTGTGCACTTTTGCGGTCTGCATGGAGCAGTAGCATTACAGGGCATAGTGGCTGCGTTTTGCTCGTCTCGGAAAAAGTTTGTCTTCTTTTTTTACCCAGCGGAGTGTTGCAGCAATGTATAGGAAGAAAAGTTTGCTGTTTGGGAAGAAAAACAAAATAATACAGGGCAAAAGTAGAGTCAATCTAGGCTGGTCTATCGGACAAATAATAGCTTTAGCAAACCACAACAAATTAAGACGTCTTAAAGAGGGTACATGACTGAAGAAGAAGGCATTAAAAATAGAAAATAAATATACAAAGAGACTCAAATTATCCAGAAGGGAACAGAGAGAAAATGTGGAAAATGAGTAGCAAGTTTTTTTTTGTTGTTGGATGTAGTTGACGGAAAGCAGAGAATGAGATAACTGGGTGTCTCAAAAGGACCATCTCTCCTGTGTGCGGGGGTCCGTAGAGAGCGAGGGGGACTCTGATGAGGGCTGACTGCTGCTGTCTTCTCCGTTCAAACTCATCCGACACACTGGACACGTGTCATGCTGCAGCATCATGGGGAAAAAAATAGGTACATGTCAGCTTACTGCAGTTGGTCTAAAAAAACAACAAAAAAACAATCAGATATAGAAAGTCATCAAAACGCTTCTTTTTGTGATGTGCTTTCGATTCCAAATCTCAAACAATGAAAACAGCAACAAAAATAAAAACATGAGTTTAGAATGAATCTAAATCCTATTAAAAATCTCATCGCCCTGGATCTCAATCAGAGAACAACTGATAACAGATACATCTTAGGAAGTAACATAGGAGTTTGACACATTGCAAACATTATAATTCTCTTATTCTATAAATCAGACTGAAAATGATAAACAACTCCAAAAGTATGCAGTCGTTTACAAAATCCACACTTTGTGGAACCACCTTTAGTCACTCAGCTTTGAATATCTAAATCTAGCAATAATTATATTTTGACCAGGTCATTCTAACTAATTTTCTATTAACCAATTCATTTAGTTTAAATCATTGGCTACCTCTAACAAAGTTTCTTCACTAATTTACTTGTATTTAACTCCATTATAATTATAGAAGCTTTATCTGGTCTGGTCCTGTTTGGCTGAGATACATCATCCTAGAGAGAAATATCAGCTGGGCTGCTAACATCAATAACATCATTTATAGAAGATAGCGTGGGTTCCATTTTTTCAGTGCTTAGTCCTGTTTATCTTCTAGACATTGCTGTGGGCTCAAGTTTTATGGCGGCTCAGAGCTCATCTACCTAACTGTTTTTTCCTAGACAGCGACACCTCTGGAGCTAGTTTAGCATAAGCTTTTCTAACATGGAAAGTTTCTAATGGATCTATGCTCCTCTTGTATGCCTGCTCCCTTTTTAGCAGAACAGAACTCCCTTTTTAACAGAAAGGAACCTCCAGCAGAAGCTATTAAGAAAAAGGCCGCTCACAATAATCCTGGTTCTTCTGGAGTTTTCTTTCTGTTAAATGGGAGTTTCTTCTCTTTACTGTTGCTACATGCATGCTTTGTGTGAGGGACTGCTGAAGACTCAAGGACAGAATATAAGAAAATGTCTACTGTCGTAACTTGCTCATCTAGCAGGAGTGAATCCTGCTCAGGTAATGACTGATGCATTCAACTGGGTTTCCCTATGTAGAAAACTTTTTACCAATCTGTCTGTATGGTCTGATTGAATTGTGTTTGAAGTACTTTGAGATGAAATGTGTTGTTAATTGGTGCTATATAAATAAACTTAATTAATTTTCAGTCAACAGTGACCAGCTTCTAAGCTTGCATCATCAGATTTCATCATGTGAGATGTTGTGTTTAGGGTGCTTCTAATCAGATCCCCCACTACCACGTGTTTCCTGTGCCCTCTTTTAACTTGCAAATTTATATTCAATTTTAGTAAGGGGTATCAGAAAAAAAGGGGGCTGAAAATAAATGCAGGCCATAAAATTCAGATTTTATTTTGTAAAAACTTAAAGCCAGGTATATTTTTCTTCTCATAGGTAAAATCCTAATGAGGCCTGCGGTCATCACATGTCAAAAAGCTTAAGAGGTATCCATACTTTTTAAAGTTGCTGTAGATGCAGAGGGCCACTGCCTGCTGCAGCCTTATCAGACACTGATAAGGCTGCAGCAGTCACTGGAGTTTTTAGATACTCATCTTGCATGCCTGGAACCTGCTAGAAAAAATACTTTCTTGCTTTATTCTGGAGGGCTAGTTTAAATGAGCTTTAACGTCTGCATACTCTCCTATAAACAGCAAATGAATCATATGCCCGTTGTTCTGAATTGTGACTCACCATTTCCAGCCATGGTACTATACAGCCTGAGTGAAAGAAGTGGTTACAGGGTAGCTGTCTGACTGGTTCTCCCACTGCAAAGTCTTCTTTGCACACTGGGCATTCCATACAGCAGTCTGCAGGAGAGAACAGGAATATGTGTTCTCATTTTGGTATTAATAGCCCTTTTTACAGGTTGATTAAAAGATGTATGATTAGTAGAGTCTCACATGTGTGTTATTTAAATATACCTTATCTGTTTTATTCCCTTAACACTAAGAGTTTGAGCTGAGAATGGAGCTGTAAGATGATATTAAGTCACAAGCATAAGTATGTATTAATGAGTGCAAGGTAAACTCTCAAAAAACATCTAAGAGTATATAGGGATGCGAAACGAAAACCGGTTCCTGTTCAGAACCGGTTCCGTGTTCCAATTCCATGGCACCGTTTAGCAGCTCGCTTAACAATTCTCTTATCGATTTCAGGCAGCACCAGAGCCTAGCGCTGGGCAGCACGACTTACGTCACATTTTTTATGCAAGTATGACGTAACCAGGCGTAAGTCTAGAAAACAAAAGCGGCCAAAGCGTTCGAAAGATTGGCTTCATTTTAAGGAAGAGAAAGATGGCAACAAGGTGTTTTGCAATCATTGCAAAGTGGCAATTACATCGCTAGGAGGAAATACATCCAACATACAGAAACACCTGCACACAGGACATGGCATACATTTTAACGAATGCTGTGTTTTTGATGCTTCAGGACAGAAGCTAAAGTTTCGACCAGCATGGAAGGCAACTCTGGTGGTAAGAAGCTAGTTTTATATCAGTGGCTGTGCTTAATGTGGTTCCTAGTAAATCATATGCCATTTCTGGAAATAAACCAATTTCCTATCTCTCTTTGGGGTTATTAAACATGCTACAAAGTTGCTCCGCAGTTCAGGAAGCCAGAGAAAGGTGAAGCTTGTTTATTTAAATCAGGGGGAGATAAGTTTGTTTACCTAAATTGTACAGTAATGCTTTTTCATTAAACGGATGCCTTCTCCATTAAACTTAGACGACTGTGACGAGACGGGTAGCCTGGCTGGCAGCTCCCATTCACTGCCTTCTGTTTTCGCAGAGGCAGGCAGTAATAGAATGTCCCAGGCGAGGGTAGACAAATGTCACTGTGCACTCACCAAGTTCATTGTTTCACAGAATCGATAAGAGAATCGAATCGTTTCACAGAATCGATAAGAGAATTGGAATAGTGAATATCTTATCAATTCTCAAACCTAAGAGAGGATAAGTTTGGAATAAGGTCACCAAAATCTGTCACTGTGAGTGGCTTATGGGAGAAAGTGTTAATCTATTCCAGTTTAATGGATATTTGACCTTTTAGCCATAGTGACGAGGTTTAATCACATTTATTACATCAAAATACTAAAGCTTTAAAGCGATCTGATTTCTAGATTTCTCTACATATTTGGAACATTTTAAAAGGTCAATACAATTATATGATTTGCATTTATGGCAAATATTTATACTTAGGGCTACGCCATAAATTAATACTAATGTATATCATGATTGACACATAATATCAGCAGAAATACATTTGTCAATTTTACTGAAATTCAATCTAGAACCACGTGGTATTTTGAGGGATGTAGGCAGAGGAAAAGATTTAGCATTTTGACGTCTCACGGCTAAGCTAACGGACTGAGATAGTATGATTGACCTTTTATAATGGTTACACTTTACAAGGGTTACAATTTAAATTCAGGCTTTTATCCCTGGTTCTTATTTCAAATAGGTAAACAAAACACCAATATGCACCGATATCGACTGAGATGAAAGGCTGATATTGTGATACATTTTTCAGCCCAACTTGTTCTCTGATAAGACTTTAGATACAATAAACCCCCCACCACCCACTAGAGGTGACATAGCAGAACCACAACTGATCCGATTGTTAGTAAGTGTCATTTCTACATAAAACAGCACAAAACTCTGGAGAAACAAAATAAATATGAAACACCATTCTTTAATTTCATATTAAAATATTCATCTGAACCAATAAGATACTTAGAATTACAAATTTTAAACCTGTGTAGGAGCCTCCCTATAGACAATCATTCTGAACCCAAAGGATTATGTATACAAACAAACATCTACTTAAATACTTTTTAATCATAACTGAGGTCAGTGCATTGAATGCTCTTGTATGTGTGAATAACACTAAACAAGGACTGTGAATTAAAAGTTAACATTGCCATTACAAAGAGATTACATTTAGACAAACAAAACAGCTGTAGTTACTTTTAAGGTCAAGACAAACCTGGTGACAAACTAAGCTGAAAGGCAGGAAATATGACTGACCTGCTTGTTCCTGAGTGATGCTGACAGTCGGGAGGGAAGAAATCTTCTCTTTCTCTGCTGGAGGTGGGCCGGTGTTCTCTAGTTGACCTAGTAACTACACACACACACGGATAAATTCAATGGTAAAATAAAGATGAAAAAAAAAAAACAAAACAAAAAAACAAGGGTTGTAAGAAATAAAGTTCACCTGTGTTATGACAGCATCTAACCCTCCCTGCCCCCATGCATAATCTCCTGGGTTAGAGTGCAGCATCCCTGTCCTGAAAGAGACAGAACAGCCCAGCTGGAGATAAGAAATTTAAAAATGATGTTTCTTCTGTAACGCTGCTGAGGTCCTACCATGACAGAGGAGGTGAGCCAGGAACTCCAGAGTTGGCAAAGAGTCCAGCTAGAAACTGCTGTACGATCCTGTCAGAGAGAGAACTAAACTGAAGTTAGAAGCTTACAGAAGGCCTGTCATAGGTGGTCCATTCTCTTTTTTGCACTTCGGCTGCTTTTTCACTTTTTTATAATTTGATACTCAACATCTTAGAGAAATTATCTCACCGATGAATCACTCTAGCCAGGAATACACAATATACTGCATATTTATGATGATCATCAACATGGAATCTGCATATTGTCAAGGACTGCTTGAATGACACTAAGCTAGGTATTTATGTACCATGTGTTCAGGTTCTAGGTGCCTGAAATATAAATGCTGGCACTTGCGTAATGCAGCAGCAGAAAATGTTTTAGAAGGTAAAAAAAAAAAAGCGGTGATAGTTTTTAAAATCATTTAGAAGCAACAAACTTGACTGGAAGCTAATTTAATTTGAAATCTTGCTGAAACAGAAATAATTATTTATATTTTAAAGTTAGAATCTAGATAGACTGCTCATAATCTGGAGCCTTTGTTATGAAGTCATGTCGAGAAAAAAAAAAATCACTGTTAAAATGTTTATTTGCAAATCTTATCGTTAATGCAACATTTTGACAACATTATTGCAGGTGACTCTGATATCATGCAGCTTCATTTCAGGCTTAAAATGTTTACACACAGCTTACTGAAAATAAAAAGATGTGAGGAGAGTTTTGCTTGTGAGCGTTTTTAGTTGAAGGGCCTGAATTGGCAGATGGGATGGGATATTATAACACAAGAGGGGGGCTACAATCCAAAAATAAAATCTCGTTACAGGTTTGCCATGTGCTGTATTCTTCTTTTTCAACTGACCAACTGATTTATGGCATTTTGCAGCAAATTATATTAGAGCTGATATGCTACTGACAATCTGCATGTTGGCTTTTTGCAGTGAATATCAGCTTGTATTTAGTCAAAAGTCAGTGTACATACATCAGAATGAACTGCTGGGCTGCACCACAAACATCAACAAGTTGCAGCAAATCACTCTCTAGCTGTGAGCAACTCCAGCGACTGTGGTAAAGCTGAAACATGTCTCAGCTGCTGTTTGTTGGAAACGAGGGTTAGAAGCAACTTACTGTCATTATCACTGAAAGCATGGAGGAGTGAGGACGACAACTGAGCCGAGCTGTAGACACAACTTACCCTTCCACAGCTGGGGAGCGATCAGGCCGACTGCTGCCTCTGGACCTGTATCTCCTCTGGCTGTTTAAACGAGGGGGACGCCCTTGTCCCCAGTTGTCCCCAGATCCTAGCAGGCCCCCCATGGATCCTCCTAGGCCTGTCGGGACAGATCCCCCAATCGATCCACCTCCCAACCCCCCCAGATCACCAAAGCCCATCAGGCGTTCTCCGCGGATCCGATGGTCAGAGTCGGGACTGTCTCTGTCTGTGGTAAACGGTCGCTCCAGCAACAAGAGATGCCATAGCTAAAGACAAAAAAACGGAAGTTAGTGTGAGTAGTAATACGTAGAAAGAATTGTTAAAGGAAAAAAAAAAAAGGTCAATGGGTGAGAGGGGAAGAAGAAATTGAAGCAACATCATTGATATTATATCGTTTATATTCCTTCAACTACTCCCAGAAAGCCTTGGAACAAATTCATACCTCTGCAAACTGTGTGGCTGTGTCATCTATCCCATTAGCGCCACCCTCTAGGAGACTGAGGGAAACAGCGCACAAGGGGACAAAAGACACATTAGATACATATCCTGAAGCTTAGATTAATGTGAATTCTTAGCGCCATTCTGGAACGTGAGGACCAACTTCAACGGTACAACTCTATTTTTTTCCATCTAAAGTTCAATCACTTTAACATCAATATGAAATGTTAAATAAACAAATTTCATACCTGGAGTCATCTGTTACTTCCTCTATGAAACCTGAATCACATCTTGGACAGATGTATTCCTAGAAAGAGTCAAAAAGAGATCCAAATCACAAGTATCCATAAACAAGCACAGCTTAAAAAAAGGTAAATATCATGTAAATTTCACTATTTTTGTCTCTCGTCAATGAAAATGAAACTGATATAGAAAGCCATTTAAGACAGTGAAATATTTCAAGCCTTTTTTTTCTGGTACAGGTTCCCTGAGTTTCTCACTCTGAGTCGAAAGATTACACAAC